GTGTGTGTGTGTGTGTGTGTGTGTGTGTGTGTGTGTGTGTGTGTACATGGTTTTGTTATCTGGGGAGGCAATTATTGACCATTTCCTGGTACACAGCCTGGTGAGGACCCATTGTTCCTAATTGGGACAAAGTCCGGTCCCCATAAGGGAAATATATTTAGTGGGTCAGGTTAGCGCTAAGGTGTGAATTGAGTTTAGGCTAGGGTAAGCTTTCAGGTTTAGGCTAAAATTACTGATAAATGGAAGTCAATGCCAAGTCCCCATGAGGATAGGAGAAAAAAGCAGTGTGTACATCATCACCATGTGGACGACGAAGCGCTCGTTAGGTCCTTAGGACCAGCGAGGAGGACTCAACAGTTGCTTTGGTTTTGCTGCTGACACTTTAATGCATCTGTGCATGTGCTCCAAGCTGAAGTACCAAACACAGGTTACAGCAGCTTTGCTGAAGTTGGCTGAGTCAAACTATCCCCTGCTGCCGAGAGGAAAGCTGTGATGATCTTTTTGCCTGTGTCCGTGTGTTGGTTTATCTGAAGCGTTGGCAAAAATAAATAAAAAAAAACTGGGTGGATTTTAATGAGCCTCTCATAAAGTAATCATTGAATGCACATCTRTAAGTGATAAACTTATTCCAGCCCAATTCCTGATGGCTGACACAGCTAATTGACCTTAGAAGATACAACCGTTGCTAGAACTCAAATAAAAGACTATGACTTGCAGGATTGTGCGTAAATTGAGCTGCTAAGCAGGCACGGTCTCACAATATTTCTTTTTTTTTTGATCAATGTCTTTTTTATTATTTTTAACATAATCCACAACAAAAAACAAACTAACAAAAACACAAACATCCAAAATCCCACCCATCCCACCCCCTCCTATACCGGATCTACTGAAACAACAAAAGTCGATCTTGTATTCATACAAGTGATACAGTAAACAGGTTTGTGTACAATGAAACAATATTTAACCTTTACACAAAGTTATCTGCTGAAGTTTTTTCTGTGTTAGATATAAATGGCTGCCAGATGTCAAAGAATTTGTTTACATATCCCCTAACAGTATATATAATCTTCTCTAAATGAATGTAAGACATAACTTCTCTTAACCACTGAACATATAGGCTACTGGAGGATGTGGATCCTTCCATCGAAGAAGAATAAGTCTTCTAGCCAGTAG